TGGGCCTGAGCTCGGGATCCGCCTCTCGTCGATCTCAGCTGCCTGAGAGGGGCGGGGAACAGGAGAGAGGGCGGGGAACAGGAGAGAGGGGCGGGGAACAGGAGAGAGGTGCCTCTCACCACAAAGACCCTTTGCTGCAGGCACTTAATGCCAGTCCTGTCACCAAGGGGGCCCAGCGCTGTGCTAAGGAGGCAGGACTAATGTCATCAGAGCTTCTAAGGAAGGAAATATCCTGCTGGAAATAACCTGGGGGGGGGTTGGGGAGCTGAATCTGGCGCCTGGAGTGCCCACCCTGCCATGCAGGACTGCACGAGTGGTGGCAGCACAACCCTCCTTCCCCGCTGAACCTTTGTGGCACCCTGAGAGCCCAGCCACAATTCCCCACCCCAGGAGCCCCCAAACCATTAGGAGCCCAGAAAGAGGTTCAGAAGAACTTGGACTGTGTAAGGTCTGCTTGGTCAAGACCAAAAGTCTCAGCTAAGCCAGTTTTTACTTCACTTAAGGGAGGCTGTTCCACCTCCCTGACTCCCCAGCAACGAGCGCGATGTTCGCTCCCGTCCCGCTCGGATCAACGGGAAAGCATCCAAGAGCAGAACATGCCAGACCAAGCCCTGAGGCTCCTCCTTACGTTGTCCTTGATGCCCCGGCTCTTCAGCTCCTGGATTTCTGCCATCAGCCTCTGGAGCTCCTGGCAAGTGTCTCTGTAGAGCTCGTAGTCTTTGATGGGGTCTCGTACATCCACCTCGCCCTCCTCGCTGTAGTACCGCCCGTCCTGCCGGGGCAGAGGGCACAGCTGCAGCTCCTGCCTCCCACTCCCCTGGGAAAGGATCCAGGGGGTCTCTATCCCTGCTTCTGCCCGTTATCCCACACCCCAGGAGACTTTACACACGGGGAGAAATTCTCAATTTTGGATGCAAACAGCCCTGGGGTTCAAAAAGCCTGGGAATTTCAGGCTGCCTCGTAGATGGTTGTGGTACCTGTCCTGCACCAGCCCCATCCAAGGACAAATTAATCCAAGGATAAGCACATCCTGCACCAGGATAAACCCCTCTGGTTGAATCCAGGTGACCCTGCTGCTTGTGGCAGTGTTTTGAGGCCACCAGCAAGACCCTGAGAGACCTTTCAACCCCATCCTCCCTCTCCCCGTGTCCCCAGCGGAGTGTTCACCTCCCGGAGCTCCACGTTTGCTGAGGGAGCTGGAGGCAGCTGCAGAAACCCAGAGGGGAATTCCCGAGGTGTTGGGAGCTGGCTGGGCTCTGGGGGAAGAGTCCCCCAGCTTCCCATAGAGCTGAGGAAGGAGCAGGGGTGGGCAGAGCCCCAGGGAAGGGGTCCCACCTGGTCGGCATCGCCCTTGCCCCGCTTGCCCTCCTGCGGGGCCCCGTCCGTGCGGATCACTTTGGGTTTCCTCTTCTTGCTGGACTCTGAGGACATGGTGCTGCCACCCACGGCCTGGGGAACAGGAGGCAAAGTCATCGTGCCAAAGCTGCCTGGGATTTGGGCAATCCCAGTCTCCCAGCCCAGAGGGCCCCCGCACATCCTGCCCACCCCAGAGCCCCCTCCC